AATAATAATAAATTTTATTTATTTTTGTTATAAAAGTAATTACATATCTTATCCAATCATATATCTCACTCTAACAAAAAATATATAAAACAAAATAGTATATGATTCAATCATATTCAATCTCATCATATTACTTATCCTTTTAATTCTAATCACAATTTCATTAAATTCAATAGAGAGACTTCTCTCCAATCCTATTAAGGATTGCCTGGATGATATTGTTTGGGTTGTTGGTCTATTATAGATTTCACTTTGACTCTCTGTTTCAATAATTATTATTATTATTTATTATTATTATTTTTTTTGGCTATGCGTTAAAAAAAAAAAAATCGGAGTAATTTATAACTATAATTGATGATTTCATCATCATTGTTATGTATTGTACTTTTAAAAATGTACATTTCGTCCGTTCTTTTTTAAACACAAACTGATTTAATATATATAGCTACATTTATTAATTGTTTCTACTTTTTAATGAATATTTTATACATGAAAAATTAAAATTAAGCAAAACGAATTGTTGAAATAGGAACCATAACCAACCTTATGACCCAAATTTGCAGCATCCAATCCTTAGTACAACTACAGAAGCATTTTCCCATCTAAAAAAAAAAAAAAAGAGCGTTCCCGTATTCAAGCCCCTCAAAATTAATACCGGCAGACAAACATATGGGCCGTTTGTTTGTGGAGATAGAATAGAGGGGATTGAATAGTGAGGGGATTATAGTGAGGGGATTACTAATGAGGGGATTGATAGTGAGGGGATTAGTAGTGAGGGGATTGATAGTGAGGGATTAGTAGTGAGGAATTGTTAAATATTTTTATAAAAATAATAAAACAAATAAAAAAATATAAAAAATTAAAAATTATATTTTTAAAAAAATTTCCATATTAAAAAAATAAAAAAAAAAAAAAAATTCTAATCCCTTCACTATTTTTCTAATACCATCTCTACCTCCTCCTTACCAATCCCCTCTCCAAGGTATTAGTAATACCAAGGGACTAATAGTCCCAGGCTTCTCCCAAAACAAACAAGGTTATTACTAATACCTTGGTATTAACCCCAATACCCTCTCTTTCACCCAAAATAAACGGGGCCATGGTGTAGCAGAGTTATACCTGCCACAGATAAAATTTGATCAATATAAAATTTGTATATGGCCGTCTAGCATAAAGCCTGGGAACTTGTCAATAACCAAAACTCAAAAAATAATAATAAAATAAATAAATTACACTTTGAACTCTTACATTATACATCAAATCTCATTTTATTTAATATCTTATATTTCAATTGTATAACCAATAACTAGTCGCAATGTGGTCCATTACGTTAATTGAGTTTAAAAAAATTATTGAGGTGATAATAATAACCTTAAAAAAAATATAGAAGTAAAAAAATAAATTAAAGTTACATTTTTTCCTAAAATTGGTACCATTACAGGTCAATATTTATTAAACGATTCAACATCAAACTTTTAAAAATTGTTACATTATAATTTGATTAAAAGTGTGAACAATGGACTTGAGACAAAATTCAGACAAATTAAAAATATAGACTAAAGCAAGGTTTAAATATAATATAAAGTATAAAGATAACAACTGTAATTTACTCTCTCTCTCTCTCTCTATATATATAATATATATATATGTATGGATTTAGCTTTCCTCTAGTCCACTATTTTAACTAGGGAGTCTAATGATTTAATTGGGGTCTGTTTTGGATCTACTTTTTTGATCTAAACCATTTAGTATTTAGTATACATTGAGTAGATTGTTCATATAAAAAATTAGATTGATTGATATAATTAATCACATATTTGAATCACATTTGTCTTTAAAAAATAAAATCTATTTATTAAGTTATATTTAACACTTATTTTTGTAAGACAAATGTCATCTAAACATGAGACTTGATATATACGATCAAGCTAATTATTTGTATGAATGATCTAACTCAAATATACTAAAAATTGAAAATTTAAATTTAACAAAGTAAACTCAAAATAGGCCCCAAAATTAAAACCGTCCAATCCAGTCTAAACAATGGAATGGAGTACCCTATACATATGGATAAATTATATTTTATTTTTTAAAATTTATTATTTTCTTATTTTGATTCTAAAATACTATTATATTATTATTATTATATTATTATTATTTTCACTTAGGCCTTTAATGTTTGTTACGTTTTCTCAATTTGATCTAAAGACATGTGTCACCTTTCGTATGAAAATTTGTCATTGCGATAAGGATGTGCACAACATGACATAAAATAATTAAATTACAATTATGTCCTTTAAGATTTTACTGTTTTATTTTTTATTTTTCTCTCTCTATGATTGTAATCTTTTTCAAGATTGCTATCGAATTTAAGTCTCAAAATCCAAACCCAAAATAAAACCCAATTCCAACTCCACCTTTCTTTGTTCTCTCAAATTCACCATCAATCTTCCACTACTCTTCTTCTACCCCTTAAACCCCCTGCCCCTTCCCCCACAATCCCCACCACCACCTCTCCACCTCATTTAGCCCCACTCTCTGTCCTTATTTTTTGGCATGTTTTAAAAAGAAGGTTCAAAAATTGACTTTCTAATTTTTTAATTTTTTTTGTAAAAAAAAAAATGTATAAAAAAATAAAAAAATGATATAACCTAAAAAGCTAAAAAGTCAAAAAATTGATTTTTAGCCAACTTCCCAAAATCTCATCCAATACCAAATTATAGATCATATACACCAAATTTCTATGTGCGTAGTTGAGTTTTTATAATATGTTTTTTGAAATTTTTCAAAACCAATTTGGTAAAAAAAAAAAAAAAAACTAATGGCTTATTTGGTTTGGATTTTCATAATTCACTTTTCAGAAAATTGAAATTTTATTTTTCATTTTCGTGTTTTTTTTTTGTTTTTATTGAATTTTTTATTTTGATATTCCAAGGATTTTTTTAAAAAAAAAAATTTAGATACACTTAACATGAATACACTTACAAAATATAATATTTGTGAATTTTTTTTATAGAAAATTCACTAAATACCAAAAATATACAAAAAAAGAGAGAAGAGAATTCAATACATTTTCATATTCTTGTATATTTATTGATTTTTTAAAAATATTTTTTATGAATATTTTATTTTTTAAATAAATCTAAGTAAGGTACATCTAAAAAAGTAAAAAAAATTGCTTAAAATTTAAAAATATGCACGGAAAACAAAAAAAATGACAAAATAAAAAACTTAATTTTTAAAAAATTGAAACCAAAAACACTAAATTATTTTCATATGGTTTCTCTTTTTTGGAGATAGAATATATTTTAAAATTTTAAAAATATATTTTTTAATCTTTATTTTTGTCAAACTTGTTTTTAATTTTTAAAAAAATCAAGAAAAATTCTGAAAACTCATTTAAATTTTAATATAATTTATTTTCATATAATATGACCATCAAAGTGTCATTTTTTGGTAAAGTATAATTTATACATACATGCCATCTGGCTGTCTACGTGAATGGCTGCGAGGTGACATTTTTAGTTTAAAATTGGAGAAAAATTTGTTTTGAAAGTAAATTATGAAAATAATAATAATTTGAAAGTACGGAAAAATATTTTAAGTATCAAAGTGAAAATGATCAAATTTAAAGGGTAAATTATACTTTATACCTGTACACTTTGTACCAATACTTTGATATTTACATATGAAACTGTGACTGTCAACCTTCCACACTTTTGTTCAAGTGTCAATGTTTCTATTTTGTTATTCTATCATGTACGTTTTTAACAAAAGTCAGTAATGTGACAAGTATATGATTATAAAATAAGGGCAAATGAGGAAAATCACATTCGTCTCCCATCTATACACGTTTCATCTAAAATTTACATCAAATTTTGACTATATTTGGCTAAAACAAAATACAGATTGTGAACGATTAAGGAGATAAATTAAAGTTTTACAGAAATTAGAATCACAAAATTTTGTTTTCCACAATAACACAGTCTTTTGTTTATTCTTCCTCATTTCTCTTCGATTTCTTTATTGTCTTTTTTTCTTTTTTTCCTTTTTTTTTTTTAAATATAACTTCAAAACCTCTATTTTTTTTTGTCTCTTCATCCAAATTTTCAGTATATGAACACACGCGCGCGCGCGCACACACACACATATATATATAGTATTACATTACTCACATATGCTTATCATGTGAAACAAAGTGTGTATAGTAGGAAATTGATATGATTTTTCTCCCTTGTCCTTATTTCATGGTCTTTTGTTTTTTGGGTGAATACATTTCGTAGTGACATGCTTGTTATATAACTAGATTCTAATAAGGACTTAAATAATAAAGCAACAAAAGGGTGATATTGACACTTGACTAGAAGTGTGGAGGATTAACTATAACGATTTCATGTGTAGAAGCCAAAGTGAGATTTGACCAGAAATACAGGGATTGATTGTTACGATTTTATGTGTAAAAACCAAAATGAGATTTGGTGTAAAGTGTAAGAAAACAAAATATAATTTATCCAAATTTCTAAGAAAAAAATGAGATTTGGTCACTTTCTCACTTTAGTCTTTAAAGTTTGTTTTCTTTCTTACTTTGGCGCTTTATATTTTAAGTTTTTCTCATTTTGTTCCAAAAGTTAAATTCTATTCAAAATTAGACAGAAAATGTCACAATAACTGCTACATAACATAAAAAATATTTGTTATATTAAAGTTTAAGTTTATGTCATAAGTGTGATTTATATACAATAAAATATTTTTATACAACGTGATTGTTAACGTGTTATTTTTTGACAAATTTTAAACAAAAATTAATTTTAGGAATAAATTGGGAAAAATTTAAAGGATAAAGGCTCAATGTTTAAATAAATAAATAAATAAATAAAAAGGATCAAAATAAAAAAAATGGCCAAAATATAAAAGGGGTAAAGTGTGATTTATATACATATAGATAAACAGAAAATTAAACTGATTGAAACAGGCGAGCTCTGCAAAAGAAAACTAGACTTCCCCAAGTCAGCAGTGGCGCGCCCTGCCATGTAAACCCTAAAACCAGTATGATTGCTGGTTTTCCTTTATGATTGTTAATTTTGTTGAAGTTTTAAGTTGTGTTTGGTTTATAAATTAGGGAAGAATTTGAAAAGATAAAGAGAAAAGGTAAGTGAATTGTGAATGAATATTTCAACTACATTTTACATTCCTGTTTTCTTTCTTTTTAAATTTTTTTTCTTAAATTCATAAATCAAACATATTGTCGCAGTGAGAAAATCATTTGGATCTGAGAATTTAACTCTTTCTTGTTTGTGTCTTGGCAGAAGTAAGAGGAGAGACATCTCGGATGCCTAATTCCCGTTCACTAAAGCTCATGATTCGACGCACCCACCACCCATCTGCCTTCATAAACAAACGAATTTTAACAGAAATTCGAGTGGGTTTGCACTTGCATACATAAGGTATTCGCTCTTTTTATTTTATTCTTTTGTTCCTTCAGCATTGCATTCTCTTTTTCCTGATCTAGATGATGCTTTGGATTGATTCATCCCATATTCGAATATCATCAATCTTCTTGTTTAGAGTCTAACGGAATTTGATGCCTTACAGCTATTTGATGCATTTGATTTGGTATTTCCCTCGGTGCCAACATAATTGGGATGAAGGGTTTCGTTGTGAGCTTTTTGCTCTTCACCTCCGCTTTATTGTTGTTATCCATATGTATGTATGTTTGATAATATTAATAAAGTTTTTTTTGCTGATAAATAAAAAAAAGGGGATAAATTATAGTGACACTTTCTAAGATTTCTGTTTAATATAAAATTTTTCTCACATTTAAAAAATTTGATGCCTTTACACCTATTTGATGCGTTTGATTTGGTGTTTCCCTTGTTGCCAATATAGTTGGGATGGAATTCGGATCCTCGGTCGCGTTTGCCTGTAGCCTTTTCCTGTAGCGCCCCAAAACGACGTCGTTTTGGGGCAACTTTTCAAGAAAAAAAAAAAAAAAAGAAAATGGAAAAAAGAAGAACAGAGGGAAGAACCCATTAATGGCGTCGAACACAGGAAGAAAATTTTTGATTGAAATTTTAAGGGCGATGAACACAGGAGGAAAATGGATTTGATTGGGTTTGAAATTTTTGATTGAAATTTCGGATAGGTATATATCATCTTACATACAGATCCAAGAAAAAAACCCAAAAAATTAGATCATACTCTGTGTTCACTTTTAAACCCAAGAAGAAGATGATGGAAAGGAACAAGAAGATGATGGAAAAAAACCCAGAACATGAACACAGAGAGAGAGAGAGAGAGAGAGAGATTGATTGTGGTACATTTCTAGATGTATACATACATCTCAGATTTTTAAACAACAATACAAACACTTGAACATTAGATCAAAAAAAAAAAATTAGATCAATACAGAAAAACACTTGAACATGACGTTCAAAAAAAAAAAAAAATCTGAGGTTCAAAAATTATACAAACACTTGAACATTAGATCAAAAAAAATAAAATAATAATAATAATAATACAAAAATAAAATAGATCAATACAGAATATGTATTGAACATGAAATGTACAGAATATGTAATAAAAAATTAGATCAATAACACTTGAACATGAGATTCAAAAAAAAAAAAATCTGAGGTTCAAAAATAGAAAAGCTGGAGAATCCTTACTTGTGTCTTGTAACAAATTATATAGTGTCAAAATTTTATCAAAATAGAAGGATTGAATGATATGCGATGGGACTCAAAGCAGTACCTGATATCATTATCCTAACCCTTTATTGTCCGTATATTTTTTAGCTGGTAGTGCCTTTATTCCTTTTGTTCATAATATCTTAACTATTTGATCATTTGTAAGTCTACAATGAGTATTGCTTTCTGAAACCGCTAAGCCTAAAAACCCTGTGCAAACTCAAAAATTATTTTCTTCTTTTTTTTCTTTTTTTTTATTTTTACTTTTAAATGTTTTTACATAAAAAATTTAAAAATTATTATAAACATATTAATTTTTTTTATTTCATATTTTAGCAAAAATATTACCAAAATAGCGTATTTTCAAACCAACCCTAAACTACTCAATAAATAAAAATGGGTAAATTACATTGACACTCCTTAAGAATTTTGTTTAATACAGATACCTATCATATTTGAAAAATTACACTTATCCCCTATCAGATTAAAATGATATATTTGTCTCTTAGTTTTTATACATATAAAATAATATAGATATTTTGTTTATGTTATTTCAAGAGAAATAACAATTATCTTCTTTAGTTTAACTTACACAAAAAAACTGAGTTTTTTTTATTTATTTAATTTTTCGTATTTTTTTTAATTTTTACTGATTTTTTTAATATTATAAACAAATTTTTTATTTTTATTTTTTAGATACACCTAATTTAGATATTTTGCGATTTTTTTTTAAATTCACCAAACAAATAAAAAAATACAAAAAATCAATACATTATCTTATTTTGTTGTATTCAATAGATTTTTTCAAAATTTTTTGTACAAATTTTATACATTTTAAATATATTTAGATTAAATTGATCTAATTTAGATATAATTGTGGAAATAAAAATAAAAATAATATATATATATATATATAATTATACAAAAAATATCATAAAAATGTTGTGATAGTGATATTATTGTAAATATAAATTATGTTTATATGTATTTTGTTTTAAAGTAAATGGTCACCATTAAGTTATACCATTATGTCTGAAAATTCTATATAAATTTATATTTGTATATCATCATTCAATAATGCTTAGGGATGACAATTGATAACCTATCCTGTGGGTATCCATGGAGACCCAACTCAAATACATGGGTTTTCCCCTCTTTTTCTTATCCATTGGGTAGTGTAAGTGATATTCTTTAAATATCCACAGGGGATGGGTCGGGAATGGGTACCCACTAATTTTCCCATATGATTTTTTTTTAAATTTTTTTTTTAAGATTCACAACTAAAGCTAAATATACCTTTTCTTTTTATTTATTTATTTATTTTTTCAGGTTCACAACCATTTTTTTTTAAGATCCACAACCAAAGCTAAATATACCTCCAATCTTTTTTTTTAATTATTTTTAAGGTTCAAAACCATTTTTTTTTAATTTTTAAGATTCACAACCAAAGCTAAATATACATTCAATCTTTTTTCTTTTGTTTTTGTTTTGTTTTGTTTTGTTTTGTTTTTTTAAGATTCACAACCAAAGCTAAATATACATTCAATCTTATTTTATTTTATTTGGCTCAACAATAAAATCAAATACACATTAATTAACATTGTCACATTATTCTTGTCAAATTTTATGCATATATAGAATTTTTTTAAATTTATTTAAAAAAATTAAGGACACTGTCTAGTGTAGGTTTCGGTTTGCTTTTCTATGTTATTTTATTTTGTTATAGAATGGTTTGCTTGTTCTGAAATTTCAATTAACGAGTATGAATCTATTTGTTTTATGCTATCACACAATTTATACAACATATATATACGAATGTATTTGAAAACAAGGAAATTGTAGAGAATCGAAACAAGCATGAGTCGTGATTGGTTAGAAAGCATGGGTACAAAGATTTATTTGCTGGAAAAACAAAAAGGGGATACAAAGTCTTACTAAATAATTTTTTTTAAAATAAAAGAATTTTTCTTAATTATGAACAGATTTAACTGAAATCAGCTTGTTTCCCAATGTTATGCTTCATTTATTTAGATAGAAAATATTTTTTAATGAAAAATATTTTTTATAAAAAAAATTCAAAATATATTTTTTTATAATTTGGTTGTCGTTGTGTGATGGAACGAAAGTGAAAGTAGAGATTTGTTACATGGTCGGGGGTGATGGCGGCAAGTGAATGATGGTAGTGGCTATGGTGATGGTAGTGTGACAATGAAAGTGAGGAACTAGTGGTGATGGTGTTGTGAAATATAAAAATTTCTAATTGAAAAAATTTTTTTATTTTTTAAAAGTAACAAACACAAAAGTTGTGGGGGACTAAAGAAAAAGATGGAGGAATGAATTAGGTGTGGTAATGCATAGATATCTTAAATGAGTGGTTCAGATTTGTTAAAGGTTATAATTAGATTTTGGTAAAATTAAAATGAATGGTTCAAATTTGCTAAGAGAAAGATTGGATTTAATGTCTAAAATGTCCTGTGGCTAAGAGATCAACAATACAATTCCTTGTTTCATGCCCTGATTGTTAAATTAATATGAGTCTTATAACACTTTCTTCAAACAGGTCTTTCACATTTTATTTCTTCAAAGCAGGCTTTATAACATTGTAATCAGGTTCTTAAACATGTAGAGGAGAGAGTGAGAGTGAGAAGGAGATGATTTGTAACTTTTTTTTTAATCTTCACGTTCTTCCACATTTTTTTTTTCAATTACTAAAACTTATTTTGATTGTCTCAAAATTATATATTTGATTATTATAAAACAACTTTTTAATTAATTAATTAATGTGTATTTGATTTTGTTGTTGAACCAAATAAATAAAATAAGATTGATATGTGATATTAGCTTTTGTTGGAACCTTAAAAAAATAAAAAATAAATAAAAAAAATAAGTTGTTAACATTAAATATATTAAATAAAAGAAAAAGAAAAGAATTGAAGGTATATTTAGCTAAAACTTTAAAAAAAAAAAAGAAAAAAGAAGGTTGTTAACATTAAATATATTAAAAAATAAAGAAAAAAAAGATTGAAGGTATATTTAACTTTTTGTTTGAACCTTAAAAAAAATTAAAAATAAATAAACAAATAAATAAATAAATAAATTGTTAACATTAAATATATTAAAAAAAGAAAAAAGATTGAAGGTATATTTAGTTTTTTTGTTTGGAACCTTAAAAAAAAAAAAAAAAAAAAAAGTTGGTTGTTTATACATTAAATAAAAATAAAATGGATTAAAGTGGGTTGGGGAAAATCCAAACCCATTAGGAAATGGGGAGGGTGGTACCAATGGGGAATGGGGAATGGGGAAAATTTATTATAGGGGAATGGGGATGGGGAATTAATATCCACCCCATTGCCCCCCATTGCCATTCCTTCCTAATAATGCTATGTTCAGGTAGAATTTAATGATAAAAAAATGTAAAATGTAGTTATAATGATAGGAAGAAGAAATGACAAGAAAAAGAGCAAGATGGTCATTTAGAAAATTTTAAGTTATAACATCAGCAATCCAGAGAACAATTTATAATGAGATTACAAACCTTAAAGAGGGAAATGTAATTTTTCAAATATGAAGAAAGAATTTATATTAAACAAAAATCTCAAAAGGTGTCAGTGTAATTTACACTTAAAAGAAAAAAAGAAAAAAAAGTAGTACGTAAAATTTTATGTCTAACAAAATTTATGAATTTTCACTATTTTTTAATCGAAATCCTTATTTTATTTATTTTTGGTTCCCCCCCGGCGGCGCCGGTGCCCAAAAAA